TTAACCCCCACCCCCACCTCACCTCTCCTGGATTTCCTCCCCACCCCTCCCTGGTCCCCCTCTCTCCAGTCTCTTTCACTTCACTCCACCCCCCTCCCCGGTCCCCGGTCCCCTCTCCCCTTTTCACCCCACCAACACACCCCCAACCAAAACACACAGCCATTACTCCCTCCTACGGATCCAAACCCAGTGAAGAGAAGCTACTGAACTCTTTTCCCGGTCTTTCTCTCCATGCACAACACCCGTACTTTTTCCATCTGCCTCTGTGCAGGGTGGAGGGGTGGAGGGGTGGAGGGGGCATTCGTAAGGGGATGAGACATTTTAAATCGCACAGTAACATTCCGACAGCTCCTCACTGTATAGGGATGCACGTAATCTTTCATTTCCGTACTACACTGCTCGCCTTGTTAAGGACAGATAGCTGCTCTGTCCTTTCTGTTAGGCCGAGTCTAAAACCGAAACGGGCCAACTGTACAACCTCTTTCCAACAATCTTTAACCGTTGCGAGGTGTTGGGGGAACAGCAGGGCTTGACGTTTTTTAAACGTGCAGTGGCACCGTCGATAAAAGCATTCTGTTTGGAGACACAACCCACCCACCCCCACCAACCCCCTCCGCCTGTCCTGTCACTTCTTAAAACCCACCCACGGGCCTGCTCCCGAATGAAGGGTGGGCGATGAGCTAGAAACATGGCATTCCTGCTGATGGGAGGCAGCCCCATTCATCCTTCTCCAGCCAGTGAGCTCCCCCCCCCCACCACCACCCCCATGGAGACTGCAATGATTCCAGTGCAATACAGCAGTGCGGGTTCGCATGCAAAGTGAGGCAGGTTAAGCAGAGGGGCGCGTGTTTGCTGACGGGGAAACTTGCCTGGTGTTTGGGGAATGGGCCGGCAGTGTCCGGCTGGTATGGAGCGAGGCACGGTCAGAAGGAAGAGAGACAACAGTTAGCACACCCTCGCTCGTGCAAAACCCCTCCACTGAGAGCGTGACTTTGATTAATTTCATTTCTGTACGAGTTTAAACGTTTCAAATACACTCAAGATATTAATAAGGCAACATCAAACTTTTTTTTAAAAACATAATATTTTTGAAGTAAAGCAATTATTTTTCTCTCATGCCTCCCTTTGTGGTCTTTTCCATCTCTATTGGTAATATTTCATAAATTTTATTTACTGAGTGGATTCTGGTCATTCACTACCTGAAGGGAATTGATATGTCCTAGATCATTCAGCTGCATGTTCTGGCTGAAGTTAAGATTAAAAATATCTAAACTTGTGCTAATTAGAGTCATATAGCCTAGAAACAGACCATTCGGCCTGTCTGATCGAGGTCCTGTTGTACTGAGGTAACCCCCTTCACTGTCCACTACACCTCCACATTTGGTGTTACCTGCAAACTTACTAACCATTCCTCCTATGTTCACATTCAAATTATTTGTATAAATGACAAAATGCAGTGGTCCCAGCACCGATCCCTGTGGCACACCGCTGGTCACAGGCCTCCAGTCTGAAAAGCAACCCTCCACCACCCATCCTCTATCTTCTACCTTCAAGCCAGTTCTGTATCTAAATAGCTAGTTCTCCTTGTATTCCATGTGATCTAACCTTGCTAACCAGTCTACCAAGAGGAACACTGTCGAATGCCTTACTGAGGTCCATTCCATATAGACCACATCCACCACTGTGCCCTCATCAATCCTCTTTGTTACCTCTTCAAAAAAATCTCAAGTTAGTGAGACACAATTTCCCACGCACAAAGCCATGTTGACTATCCCTAATCAGTCCTTGCCTTTCCAAATGCGTGTAAATTCTGTCCCTCAGGATTCCCTCCAACAACTTGCCCACCACCGATGTCAGGCTCACTGGTCTGTAATTCCACGGCTTTTCCTTACCACCTTACTTAAATAGTGGCACTACATCAGCCAACCTCCAGTCTTCCAGCACCTCACCTGTGGCTATGAATGATACAAATATCTCAGCAAGGGGCCCAGCAATCACTTCCCTAGCTACCTACAGATTTCTAGGGTACACCTGATCCAGTCCCTTTATCCACCTTTATGCGTTTTAAGGCATAAAGTACCTTTCCCTCTGTACTATGGACACTTTTCAAGATGTCGCTATTTATTTCCCCATGTTCTCTATCTTCCATATCCTTCTCCATAGTAAACACAGATGCAAACTACTCATTTAATATCTCCCCCATTTCCTGCGGTTCCACACACAGGTGGCCTTGCTGATCTTTAAGGAGCGCTATTCTCTCCCTAGTTACTCTTTTGACCTTTGTGTAGTTTTTTCATTCATTCTTTCATCCCTTTGAATTCTCCTTAACCCTGTTTGCCAAAGCTATCTCATGTCCCCTTCCTGTCCTTCTGCCTACTCCGACTGCCCTTAAACTCCTCCAGGGATCCACTCGTTCCCTGCTGTCTGTACCGGACATATGCATCCTTCTTATTCTTGACCAGAACCTCAATTTCTCCAGTCGTCCAGCATTCCCTACCAGCCTCATCCTTCACCCGAACAGGAACATACTGTCTCTGGGCTCTTGTTATCTCATGACTCTCAGTCTCGGCCAATTGGAGCAATGTTTTGGTAGAGATCTGTAGCTCGGGTTGTGGGGGAGGTTGTTGAGTTGCTCACCGAGCTGGCCTGTTCTTGTTCACCGAAGGGAGCAGTTCAATCTGTCACCAGGCACAGGACAGTCTGGCAATGAAGTTGTGTTGTTTTTGTGGGCGGTGGGGGGGGCGGCGGCGGATGGGGATGTTGTATTAATCTTACGCCTTCACATTCCCATAGGTCCGTAGACACCATGGCAAGGAGGCTACGCCCAACAGGAAGATCCCACGAGATTGTGGCCCACAGGGAGAGATCAGGAACAGGCAGCCACACAGACAGACACCACCTCCCGCTTTCTAACTTTTGAGAGAGCTGTCAGGAGGGTGGGTGGAAAACGCAGATCTTAACAGTATCTTACCGTCGTCCTCCGGGTCAGGTGGAGGCACGGCCACCAATAGCAGAGCGACGGGAATCGGGGGATACTTGAGAGGCCGGGTTGAGGGGACAGTGGAAATCTCAGAGCGTTGTAGGGGGCTGGAGGAGGTGACGGAGGGATTTGAACAGGAGGGTGAGGATTGTAGGGGGCTGGAGGAGCTGATGGAGATAGGGAGGGAGGGATTTGAACAGGAGGGCGAGGATTGTAGGGGGCTGGAGGAGGTGATGGAGGGATTTGAAGAGGAAGGTGAGGATTGTAGGTTGCTGGAGGAGGTGACGGATGGTGGAACATAGCGGTGGGAGTCCCTACACCACACGGACTGTGGGGGGGGGCTCATGTCCACTTTTTCAAGAGGCAGTGATGGATGAGTGAGAAACGCCAGGGCTGGCAGCTGGAGCCCTACCTCCTTTGCCCATCCAACCCACCTCCCCACAGAGCATTCCTCTATCTATCACAAAACCATCACTGTCCCACTAACGGGAAGCAGGTACTCACGGGCGTGGTGTGATCCTTCCGGCCTTTGTGAGACGATGCCACGTGGGCCAGGTACTGAATCACCTTCTTCGTGTTCTCGGTCTTCCCAGCTCCCGATTCTCCGCTGGTGTGTTTTATCAGGGAGGGGCAAAACCAGAAACAAACACATCCTCAGAACCATGGACTGCTAGTGCGTCTTGTAAATCTGACACACTCGCACACACTGCACTCAGAGCACACTGCACTCGGGGCACACTTCCCCGGTCTCTGTATCCCACCCCCCCAACTCTTAGAGCACCGTGCACAGTTCCCACCACACCGTTCCTGATAACATCCAGCCCCTTGCCACAAGGTTGAACAACTTAGTCGCCTCGGCGAACTCACGTGCAAAGAATCGACTGATCTTCCCGATCTGAGAAAACAAAGGAGAGAGAGAGAAGGAAATTGGTAACGTTAGTAAATAGGGCATAAGAAAAATTGCTGCAATTGAGAGTACAGAGTGCGTTTTCAACACACATTAATCAGAGGCCACTCAGTCCCTCTCCTCCAGCCCGTTACACAGGAACAGGAGGCCATTCAGCCCCCTACTCCTCCAGCCTGTTAGACAGGAACAGGAGGCCATTCAGCCCCCCGACTACAGTCTGTTAGACAGGAACAGGAGGAGGTCCACTGAGCCTCCTGAACATGCTCTATGTTGATCTGCCGCCTAACTCCCCCATTCCGCCTCAGTTCCCAAGCCTTTAAAAGCCTTTCCTGCTGTAATAGGATCAGAAGTAGGTCATTCAGGTCCCTCCCCCCACCGAGCCCGAAAGAAGAAATTCCTCCTCATTTCAGTCTTCAATGGGCGAACCCCTCCCCTCACTTATTCTGAGACGTTGCTCCTCTGGTCCCAGGCTCTCCCACACGCAACGGGAAACACCCTCTCTCAGCATCTCCTCTGTCAAGTCCCTCTGACAATCTTGGGCTTGCTGCAGTGCTCCAGCGAAGCTTAGCACAAAGAAAGCCAGAAGCACAGTACCTTCAATTTTCGCTTGGGGGGCTTACATCCTCCTGGACTCGATATCAACAAATTCAGGACCTGAGGCACCTTCTCCCATGTCCCCGCCCCAAACCTCACACACCCAGGCCTTGCTGTCACGAGCTGCTAACACAAACCGCCCCTTGCCAACGGTCTCCATTGGAGCGTTTGATTTTTAAAAATCAGAGAATACCTACAGTGTAGAAAAAGCCCATTTAGCCCATCAAATCTGTACCGACTCTCTAAAGAGCATCCCATCCAGAACTCACCCTATTCCTGTTGCCAATCGACCCTACACATCCCTGGGGCACTATGGGTAATTTAGCACAGCCAACCCACCCT